GCACGGTCAATTTGAAAGTACCACCAGCAGACGGTTATCATAGCTTAGCATATAAACTGAACACAGGTGGAAACAGCGAGCATGGCTCCAGTTAGCACTTCTGTTGTGTTGTTTTTACACTTGAGTTTTGTATGAATTCAACAAGCTAGATATCGACCTAATGTGTTAATTAGTGAGCTTTAGAGGTGCTGGTAGGACAGAGCCAGGCTAGCTGTTTGCCCCTTTTTCCAGTCAATATGCTAAGAGAGCTGGAGAGTGGTATAATTTTTCTCATTCACAGTATTCACATTCACAACAGTATTTCCCAAAATGTCGCACTATTTCTCAACTTTGGAAGCAAGGATATAGCTACCCTCTGTCGAATGGCCCAAAGATCATAAAATACTTCTACCAGCAACCTTTAAAGCTCACAAATTAGCGTTTTATATCTCAGGAAGCTACTTTGCCAGGCCAAGAAAAAGTCATGCAGCGTAACAAATTTTGTGACTTACTTTTAGGCTAGCTGTTTTACCACATTTTTAGTGACTAAGCGAAGCTAACCTGCTGCCTGTAGCTTTATATTTACCATACAAGAGTGGTATCGATCTGCTCATCTAACATTTGGCAAAAAAGTGAATAAATAAACCATTCCTTCAATCCATTGGGGCATCACTTACTGGCTTGATTAATGACTGGGTACATTCAGTTTGGGTGGCTTTTGAATCTCTGCTGATCAGTTTAGGAGACACACGGTCTGACCACAACGCTGCTCTGTGTCCTGGGCCCTACAATAGGATACCATTGTGCTTTCTTTGTGTGTTTTTATTTCACCTAATTGTATTATTTCTTCTTGACCTGAACGGAGAGTGGGGAAATAGTAGGAATATGTGCAACTGAGTATTTTGATTTGGACAATCGCTGGCTTGCAGCAGATTTGTTTTAAGAAGGTCAATACTATTTGCTTTGCCATTTGGTGGAGGAAATGGATATATGCTATTTATTTCTCCCCCTGCTAGCGCTCTCCCACTTATAATACTGCCGTGTGTCAAGTCTCTGTATGTCTTTGTAATAACCAGCCTCCACAAAGAACCCCCCATCTTTTATTTCACGCATTCATCAGGCGATCCGGTGGAGTGTGGGCCTTGTAATTACTACCTCTTACTTATTGGTTATCATATATCAGGCACAAAGCTATAAACATCCCGTCGAGAACAATGGGAGAGCCTTGCCACAGCCCGGCATGACATTACTATCCTGTCTGAGATTGTTATGGGTGTAATAAGAGACACCTCACACTTAAAGCAATACATCTGGACCAGAGCACTGCCTTTGACAGGGAGTATAATGGCATATTGTTGAGGCTTGGATCATGTAATTGTCTATTTGTTCATATTGTGTAGTAATTTATGTAGTGCTAGGAGAACAAGTAGACATCGGAGACGAGTGAAAGCTAGCAGCAGTTTGTAGTTTTCTTGTTTTCTAATCACGGCTAGAGAGTTATGATGTTCCTTTAAGTGACATTGTTCACTTCTTTCCAAATCCGCAATTTGAAATAGTTATTTGCTGTAATGAGAGGACAGTGTGCACAAAATGTCTCAGTTTCACTGTTACGCAATTTTATGTAGTGCTATTAAGTGACTGAGTGAATGGGCCTGATTCATCACCTCCGTCCATCTGTGTTCCTCATCCTCCAGTGTTTTGAAATGAGATAATGTCCTTTACAGCCTGTGGCAGGTATAGCAAGAACGACGCTGCTGTCATATCCTCAAAATGTCAGCATTACTGGAGTCAAACGAGCGGATAATTTAGCTGTTTCACCATCACGTTGAGTTTCAACTCTTTTGAAATGTGTTTGCAAACTGATTATAACTGTGGATATAAATGTCTCCGAGCTACTAACTCTTTTTGGTGGTATGTCTGCACTTGAAAAATTACAAAGTACACATAAAAATGCCAGCGTGGATAATCACTTGATTTATGATTGTGCTGTTGATGGTCCCACACTGCAATACACAGCGGAAATGAACGAGCTACTCACAGCTGGGAAAAAAAAGGTGGAATAACTGTGGTAGCATGATGGCTAAACAACAGCTCAAAACACAGAAATTAAAGCAATAAATCCTTTTTTTAAATTTATTTGTGAATTATGTTTCATACAATCATGTTATTTGGTCAATTTTCTTGATCTTAAAACATCAGTTTAGTTCAGTAATTTCTTGTTGTTGTATCGGCTAACAGCGCTGTGTCAACCTACATATACAGTGTGTACTTTATAGTGTAAACATGTTATAGAATTAGTACACTGCTTAGTTAAACACTGCTGTTTCCTGCAGCTGTTTTGAATTTAAAATCCATCCTACACTGTTATATTTATAAAACTAGTGCATATAGTACATATATGTCTTTGCCACCAGCTGGCTACAGGCAACATTTTAACAGTGTTGCCAGCTCTCTTTCAAGGACAGTGGCTACTTGTTGCTAAAAAGGCTTCAACATGTTGCCAGATGATGGTTCATATAAATAGGATTTTCTTTACAGTATCTTGTTCAGAGTGAGGGGGGTTGCACAGTACTTCAGAAGCAGTCTTATCTAGTGCTGCCCCATAATAGTCGACTAAACTGCAGAAAAGACAACAACATTATCAAACTCTGCTTGTACGCTGCGCTTTGTGACCGGGACAAAAGTATCAGATTGTTGCAACACGGACTTTTGCTCTTGTAACACGGGACTGCTGCATGTGCCAGCTGTAGCTAGCTGCCATTAGTTGCTTAGCAGTCCTATTAGCAGACTCTACCCGGTCTGGGAGCTCAAAGGACTCGGGGAGCTTTGTTTACACTACTAGGAGATAGTATAGGAGAATGAGCACCAGAGCTGGGCGAATGGGCAAACGAACCAGGTTCACATCCTCTGAGACGGACCGAGGCCTGGTGAATTACAGTGGTTCAACCGGGACATAAATGTTATTGTTTTACATCATCCATCGTGTTGATAAGTCAGCGAATATTTGTTTTAGTGAAGTTGGAAGTTATTTATTTTGTGTTTGGAACAACAAGACTTGTGTGATGTTACACTGTGTTGAAATAAATGAAATGTTCAGTTTCCTTGCTGGTTGTTCTGACACATTCAGAATTATTACCACGTCTTGTCATTTAAATAATGATATTAATATAATAGACGACCAGTGGACTAATGGCTGTAACTAATAACTACTAGTCAACTAGGATAATCTTTAGTCGGAGGCAGCCCTGTTATGATCCCACCAGGGTTATGGGTAGAAGTTTCCTTTCCTTCCTACCTTCCTATAACCTATGACAAAGGACCCATCTTAGTTATTTTTGCATTTTTTTCTGACATTTACCGTTCATTCCAATGCCAGGACCCACAAAACAGAAATAACTAATCATTATTATTATTATTTACACGTGTGCTTTTCTTACTGTGATGTCAAAAAGGCCTCAGTCATCTGATCATCACACTATTCCCTTAATCAGGCGCCTAGTATATATACTGGTGCACCAGCAGTTCATTCATTGTTTATAGTGCTGGTCTTTTTTGCCTTGCTGACAGCTTACTTGTTACTTACCCTGCGTACATAACAACACTTACCAGAAGAAACTGTAAATCTACACATATGTGAAAAGTTGCCAGATTTGTCACTAGTTGCTCTTATGAAATTATGTAAACCATCTGAAAAATGCTACAACTAGTCAATGCCAAGTTGGCAACATTGAATTCTGGTAAAAAAAAAAAAAAAAAGAGCCACATTAAAAGTGAGGCTGGACTACATATGGAACAATATATAGACATCTTATATTAAAGTCCAACTGAAATGAAAAATGTAATTTTAACCATATAAGAGTTATATTGTAATAAGTTATATTTAACAACTTCTGAGACAGACTAAGGATGTAACACACAACGTTATTGGCTACCGCGACAAGTCCCTCCCTAGCTGCCACAGGAAATATGTAAATATGCGGAAGCAAATAGCTGATTTCAGTTTCACCTGTACTTTAAGTTGCAGCCCTATTTGGCAAAATCTTCCTCTTAATGAATTATTTCCATACATTTAAAAAGGTAAAGAAGTAACATCTGCATGGATTTATCACTATAGATGAATAAGTCTGATACAAGAGAATGATAATAGTTTGTCTAGAAATGAGTTAAACAGTTGGTACACAACAGCTGGCCTTACTCTGAACTGTCCCACTCTGATGGTGACATAAGTTCAAAATGGCTCCTGTGGGAAAGAGGTCTATAGGGGTTTCAGTCCATCCTGCAGCTGAATCAACTTAAAAATAACAAACAGAAACACAAAAATAGAGTTACAGATGTTTACAACAGCACTGAAGTGTCCTCAACGGGAAGAAAAATGCCAGGTTTAGTGATGAAATTTTCTCACAGTGCCTCAGTCATACGTAAACTAACCATATTTAATTTTCATGTGTCAACTTCAGGATGTTTATCCATACTTTTTAGAGATCATGAAGTCCGAATGTCAACACTCTCTCTGGCTCTGCTGGACTCTTTCTGTAAATATGTCCTGAATGTGAGGTGCCAACAAGAGCAACACATTTTTAAAGGATTTTCTAAAATAAATGAGCTCTTAGTTCCTGTGAGATGGCTTTATTAAAGTATCAACAGTGTCCTAAACGTCTGTGTGAGAGAAGAATAAAGAGGTCAAAACAAAGAGTTCAGTAAATACGGATTATAATCTTCAACCCCTTCAACCACGTAAAGAAAAAAGAAACAGACTAATGATGTATGTGTGTTTATGTATGTCATGCATGCAATATGTGGGTGTTTGCACTGGAAGGCTAACTGAATGGCTCAGTTTGCAACAGTTAAATGACTCTGCTTTGTTTTTAAAGGCTGAAGTTTCTGGGCACACTCAGGTCCACTCTCGGATGTCCTTGGGGAGCAATGCAGTTGAAAGCAATACTACTGCGCGGTCATGCAGCCGTAGTGGAGAGGGGGTGGGGGGGGTGTTTTGAATGGCTGAGGCTTTGCGCAGAGGGAAAGTGGGGTCAGAGGATTTAGAAATATTTAAAGATAAAGTTTTTAGGGAAAGGAAGCCTAAACAATGATATTTTGTTATTTAAATTGTTAGAATTTCTGTGGGAGGATATGAGAAGAAACAAAGCCTGTTTGCCAAGGTTGTATAACTGGAGAAGCTGTTTTATTCTTCTTTCCCAGAAAATGAATTCTCCGCAGGCGTTGTGCACTGGTAAGTGCTGGTATTGATTGTATTTCACTATGGGTCGGAGTGCAGCTAGTGAATGACTTTAGACTGTCAGCCAGGCTGGCCTGGAAGGACTAAAAATGGACTGAGGGGGGGTAGTGGAGTGAGCAAGGTTAAAGGAACAAGTAGCATATCTGACTTGAAATAACACTTGCAGTTGCTGTTTATTTTGCCAAGGCCTGTCAGTCATCTTTAGAAACTACTTACAGAAAGGTTTACTTGAATTTCAAATATACTCTCCTCTCTTCAGATTCGAATACGGAAGTATTTGGACTTTTGAGATTCAGTTCTCACATTTTGGCTGAGAGTTAGATAAGAAGATTGATTCCACCTTTTGACTGTATGAATTTGGAGCTGGAGACAGCAGCAGGTTAGCCTAACTTAGCAACTGGAACAGCCTCGCTCTGTCCAAAAGTACTGAGATATAAACCTTCTGTAGCTATAATATCCTTATTAGTGAACTTTAAAGACGCTGGTAGACATTGTGGACTGTAGGACAGAGGGCAGCGAGGCTAGCTGTACCTAAGGAATAGTTGAAATACCAACCATATTTTCAACTTTCTTGCCAGGAGTGGGATGAGATTGTTAAGAATCATACCACTCTGATACTGTAAACATCCGTAAAGGCTAAAGCCAGCAGCTGGTTACCTCAGCAGCTTAACATATCAACTAGCCTGGCTTGGTCTAAAGGTAACAAAATCTTCCTACTAGCACCCCTAAAGCCCACTAAAAAAACACGTTGTATCTTGTTTGTTTGTTTTGTTGTTTTAGCTTTGCACAGAGCCAGGGTGGCTGTTTCCTCCTGCTTCTAAGCTAAGCTAACTGGCTACTGGCTCCAGCTTCATATTTAGTATCAAACTCTCTGCAAGAAAGTGAATACGCTTTATTTTCCCAAATTCCCAAATTATCCCTTTAACATAAAACATAATCTTAGTTCAACTATTGGGTAATATGAAGCTTATGGGAGGTAATGCGTCAAATTTCTTGGCTGTAAAACCACTTATTGTCTATTCTTCACTTCAGTTTTTGTATCAAACCAATAAAATATAACATGATAATGTCATTTTATTCATTTAATTTATAGGAGCTGATAGGTGGTTTTTGTTGCCTTTGGACAGAGCCGTGTTTCCCTCTGTCTTTATTCTAAGCTAAGATGGCGAAGCTGCGTATTTATTGAGTGATATCAATCTTCACGAATGTGAATAAGCATATTTCCCAAAATTGTTGTTTTTGACAAAATCAGATTACAAAAAAATGGAAACCAAAATCACAGGAGAAAATCCACTCACAAGGGCAATGCACACAGTCAAACACTCTCCAACAAACACAAACAAACACATGTTTATTTGGTGTGCCATGCTGTCTGTCCTTGTTTTGAATAGTTTGGAGATGTTTGGTCAGATTCAACATGTTCAGTCTGTGTTTTCCGTGTTTGGTGGTCAGTTAGCCATTCTTTATACACAAACAGCATGTGTAGGCGTAGCAATGCAGCTTGCACATGCCGAAGGACTGGCAGTAAACTCCCTTCACCAGTTGTGTATTTGTTGTTGTTATCTTGTCAAGTGAGGTGAAAATTATTTAACATGAAGATTATTCACGAGTTATGTTCCCAACAGCCTGTAGTACTACTCTGCTGCGACTCGAGAGAAGTTTACTAAACCAGATCTTTCCTCATTTTCCAGATAAAAAGCTCCCTTCTGTTGTCTTCTTAATAACCACTCTGCTTGCTCCAGATTTCCTTCTGATGTTTCTTACGTGTTTGAAGACGTCTTGCCACTTTAAAACACAATAACACAAGGAGTGTCTCTACAGTACAGAGGATATCCTCTTCACTTTCCTTTTTGAGGTCAGTTTCGAAGGCAACCGTTTTGTTTGGATTTGTTTGATCAGTGTGCCATTGAACAATGTTTAATTGGTGTGCCATGGGCTTAACAGTAGACATTAGCCCACTACTTACAGACCCTTTTCATTGTAAACAGAATAAACAGGCTAATGTTTAATAGCTGTTGGTCTAACGAGTGCACCACTCTGGAAAACCCTCCTTGGTGCGCAGGTGCAAGTCCCAGCCCCCTGCCAGGCCCTCACATTTCTCCCTCCTCTCTTTCCCTTCTCCTCCTTCATCACTGTGCAGTCGGAAAACTCATAAAATACTGAAGGAGGGCGGATTGCTCGCTCTTCTTTGAAAAAAAAAAAAAAAAAATGAAGGGAGAAGATTACTCCTCACAGCTGTGCGGTCCTGAGGCCATATCTAAGGAGCCGCCACCAGAGAGGTCAGCCCCGTCGCAGTCTCATACTAGCCTTTAAATCAATCACATGTCAAGGCTGTGAATAGCAGGCCAATAAGCTCAATTAACACCAAAATACTCTGAATCCGTGCCCTTCTGCCGCCCGTCACCACCTCTTGGGAGAGGCCTCTCAGATCTCAGGACATGAGAAGACACCGACAGTCAGACCAACCATAGCTGCCCGCCCCGCCGCGGCCTCGCAGCCACGTACAGCCCCTATCAAGCTATAGTCACATAACTTAAGCCTGCACTAACACACAAACAGCTCAGTGCCTATTTATACATCACATCCTGGCAACGTACATGGGAAAACAAGACCCCTGCACTATCAGTGTATCCAGTGTTGTCTGCCTCTCACTGTTCTGTCCCTGTCTGATGTTGGAGGGGACAGAGACATAAGATAGCTGCTTAGGATAGCTGAAAGATGGCTGCTTTAGATAGCTGGAGATACCAAAACAACTTGATTATGCATTTGGCAGCAGGGAGGAGTTGTTGATATTCCAGACGTTGCATTCCCTGCCGACATCCCTGTGCGTGTAATTGTCTGTAGTGTTGTGTTATCAAATCATTATCAACATGAGTTAGCTACAATAAAACAGCAGGGCAGCATGATTTAACTCTGCCTGCGGTGCTTTATGCCATGCTGTGAAATAAAAGAGACACACATTATTCTTTAACCGCCGTGCTTTATTTGGATCCTGATTCAACTGATACCTCGATCACAAAAAAGACTTCCCAACACAAATAGACAAAGTGCAGCGTGATAAACATGTGCCAGGCAAAATATCTGGAACACCTCACAGTATATTGCAATCGAGTGTACAACAGTATCTCTGCAATAAATGGGAGCTCTGTGAAGGTTTTAGTGTTTTTAACTCGCATTATATTGTAACATGTTCCTGTTATTTTGTCCACCTCCTCAGCTATTAAAGTCAAAGTTTGACCTGTTATCACAATCTAAAAAACTTTATTGAAAACTAACAATATAACCAAGATATAAATATCAAAAAAACAAAATAGTGAATGGAGCACAAACAAGCAAACAAATCACAATAATCCTGTAAAAAAAGACATCACAGAAAGACAGTGAGACGTTTCCTCAAGTACCCGGCAGCAGCAGTGAAGGCTGAAAAACTCTCAAGACACCATTAAAAGCAGGCCTGTTCATGGAGGAATCCCAGGGTGGTGTTGTGTTACAAAAAGGACATCTGTGCAATTTATTTCTCAAGTTTCATTTTCTCCTCCTTACAAAATAATTATTCTGTGAGCTTGGCATAACAACAACAACAAAAAAAAAACCTTCTGTAATTATCATCATATTACACACTTGTTTTTTTTCCTGTTTAATAAAGGCAAAATAAGAAAGGTTTTTGTTATCTCAAAAAACAAGTTTGTTATGTAAGATCACAAAACCTTTACCATCTGTTGTTGATGAGAAAATAAAAAAAAAAAATTAAACATGTCGTTTGCAAAAGGTGCTGAGACAAAACAACTAAAGATTACAATGACAACAAAATATTAAAACAAAAAAGCAACATAAAAAGTTTGCTCTTTACCTCGGAAATAGTCGTTTAATAAAATAATCGTCATTTTGGGAAATACACATATTCACTTTCTGGTCGAGAGCTAGATGAAATGATTGATACTATGTAACTATGAAGCAGGAGCAAGGATACAGCAAGCTTAGCTTAGCATAAAGACTGGAAACAGGGGTGGACAGCTAGCCTGGCCATGTATGAAGGTAACAAACCTTCCACCTACGAGCACCTCTAAAGCCTGTTCCCCAAACTGTCTAACTAACCCTTTAACTAAAGGCCACACATTAACTTTTTCTGCATCATAAGTTAAATATATACTGTTTTAAATATATAAATTTAATAACTGTTTCATATTGTTATAAAAGTGAATGCAAGAGAAGCAAAAACAATGTTCATATTTATTAAAGGAGATGATATTAGAAAGAAAATCCCTATTGTGAATATATATCATGTCTCTTAAAGTTTGTAGATGTTCTGAGTGACCGAACCAAACACCTTTTTATCAGTGTGATGTGTCGGGACTGACAGTTGGTGATCAAACCCAGGTCCCAGAAATCCAGCATGGTTCCTCCTGTCTTATCTTGATTCCTGTTTTTATCTGTGTTTTCTTACCAGGAGAAACCTCCAACATGGCACCAGGAAGTTTGACCCTCCAGACTTGTTTGGTTTAGAGCACTTCAGAGGTAGATCACATGACGTGAGCCAATCCCCCTTCTCTCAGACTTAAGAAGGGGGTTTAAAATCAATTTGTTGTTCTCCACTCACTTAGACTCTGCATTTAATCTACAGATCTTGTTTGATCTTGTTAATCTGTATATCCCTTTTTCTCGGGGGCTCTCTGTTGGGAAATACGCAGGCCAGAAGAATCATAATTCATATATTAACACGTGACGACTTATTCTGTGCTGCAGCCAAGTGTGTAGACATGGTCATGGGGGGAGGGTAGAGGGTTTGGGGTCCATTATAATTATGATGATGAAGCACAAATATCTCCGACCATTTGCCATGTGTCTGAGCAGTTCGATTACAAGCTGTCAACCGAGCTCCAGCCGAAGGGAGAGAGAGAGACACTCTGCAATGATGATGATGAAGCACAAATACCTCCTGCCATTTGTCATGTTTTCATGTGTTTGACCATTTCAATTACATGCTGTCAGCTGGAGAGAGAGAAAGAGAGAGAGATAGAAAGAGTGCATGAGACATACAGTGCATGCCAGAGAGAGTGCGAGTGACACATGTTACACAGAGTGAGTGAGGGCGGACACATGGTGGGCAGGGATAGAGTGCAAAAGAAAGACAGAAAGAAAGCGAAGGGGCAGAGTTGCATGTAAGAGAAAGCTGGCAGCAGAGAGAAAGTGTGTGTGTGTGTGTGTGTGTGTATGGGGAGGGGGGGTTATATAGAGAGAGAGAGAGCGGTGAGAGGACAAGCACAGGGATATCAACTATCTTTGACCCTCCATCGCCTTCTAAAAAACCCTGCCCCGCCCCCCATCGGCCCACCCTGTAAGCCCCAGTACTGGTACGTCAAATGAGTCCTATTTATAACCTGTGGATGGATGAGGGAATCAGGTGGACAGTACACATCTCAAGGGAGGTGGTAGTTGTGAAATTATTGTGAATTTCTAATAAGTATGGTGTGAGTTTTTTGTTATATGGTCGTTTGTTTGAGTCTGGTGTGGAGGATTTATATCCGGTACCAGAAAACTTAAAAAAAAAAAATGGTAATATAGAGATATATGTCTGTCTGGAGGGACGGGAAGTTATCATATGTGCATTTATCCCTGTAAACGTGTACTGCAATGTGTCCCAATGTGAGAGTCTGACTTTACTATTTTCTGTATTGTTTGTTGCAGGGCCTCAGGATAAATCGTGTCTCCTGAAAAAAGCATTAGTATTTGACGACCTGGAACAAGCCACTCTCTTTCTCCAGAATGACTGACCCCACCTTTAAAGGCCCAGTGTGTGGGATTTAGTGGTGAAATCGCAGATTGCAAGTAACTGAAAACAGCAGTGTTACTTCTGCTGATGTAAACATTTTCCAAACTCATCACCCTCTTTCCTCTTCCCTTCGGTTGCCACAATCAGCACGTGTGTGTCCAGAGCCCGAGGTGTAAGGCTAAACCTGTGCTAACACCGAACAGCTAATAGGTTCATCCATCATGGAGGAAATGAGACTCTCCCCCGCTCTCTCTCTCTCTCTCTCTTTCTCTCTCTCTCTCTCTCTCTCTGCCCTGTCTCGCTCAGCCAACTCTCGAGCCCAGACACACTCACACACTTACAGGCAAAATTACTGCAAAGTTCTCCACCAGGGTATCCTTTCTTTATTATTCTAAGTGAACAAGGGGGCCCTTCATAGTCAACGTAATTTATCCAGTGTCTCATTTCGGATAAAAAAGCTAAAAAATGAAGCGAAAGGAGTGAGAAGGTCGTTGTGGTTAGAAACCTCCAAACCTCATGCCTTCCTGAGCGGCCTGAGTGTGGAACCGAGGCCAGAGGGTCATGAGGAGGCCCATTCAGTCCTGGCTCTGTTTTGACATGGGCAAAAACACTGATCCATCAGTAGGACCATTTACAAACCCTTGCGCTCCTGCACTTTGTTCCCGTCACTTCTTAATAAATTTCTGGCCTGTTGTTTCAGAATATTAAGCGACGGCTCTAAAAACATCTTGAACATCTTATTTTCTTAACACGATGTTAAAGCAAATGGCAGAAAATGTACAGGATATTTTAAGGAGGGCATCTTAGAGTTGAGGAAGCATTGTCTAATAAAATAAAATGTTTACAGCGATGGTGGGAGCCTCACATAAAAAGTTTGGGCTGTTTCGCCAAATCCAGTCCAGTGTACTTATTTAAAGTCAGTATAGACTGTGGTTGGGGTTTGTTTTGGGTAACCTACTTATTTGGTCAAAATTGTAATTAGCAAAAAGAAGAAATCAATTGGTATTTATTTTTCTCCGGGTAGAATACATTTTTTGGGTCCAACTGAAAAGTTGTTTGTAATATCACTTTAAACTCGCTGTGGGGCTAACATTGTTAACTTACTATTCCTAATTTAAATTTTGCCAGTGTGAACATTTGCCGTCACCTGGCCAGCTACAGCCCGTCCTTTTTTCTAACGTGGGACAAACTCCGCGCAGTGTGTGAGAGATACCTACAACTCAACAGGTGTCCAGTTGGAGTCGGTGCTAACATTAGCAAACTAGTGCCGTGTCTCAATTTGAGTTGATGAACTATTTTGAGTTCATAAGTACATTCACACTGTCGAGGGTGGCAAAATGCACTGCGAGTACCCGGATGGTTCACACCAAAAAGTTGAGTGGTGAACCCTGGACACTTCTCACCCTCAGTGGTCACCATTTTTGCTATGTGGCGGAATTGGGGCAACATTTTCCGTCAGTAGGAGTAGTAACCGTTGGCGAAGACGGTGTCATTTCCACCTAGCATGAAAAGGGGAGGTCACACAGGCAATTAAAAAGTAGAGGCAAGTTAATTTTTGATTAATATTGTGAAGAAATCCAGTGAAAAATCACCGGGTGTTGACACAGCATAGGCTAAACAACATTTGTGGAAGCCAATAAGTCTATTTTTCTAACTTCCGAATGTTGAATGTTGGGTCAGATGTCTTAAAGCACCAACCAGACAAACCCAGCGCTATATGTGGGTACAAAAATGTTAGCATTCGTAGGATATAGTGTTACAATGTACTCAGGTAAGTAGCACACCACAGAAGTTAACAGTGGGTCTCCTAGCAACAAAAGTTTCCTTAAAGTCAACTGTTGCCAAGGGTGACACCAATTCAAAGGCCTGAAGCTTAGACAATGTTTACACTAAAATGTCCAAAATACAAGTGTTATCCATGTTTTGAAAATTGGGAAAATATGCACAACAGCTGCAGGATCATTATAGTTTCCTTACACAAAAAGAGATTATAATACATTTATTAAAAAATTTAATTACTTCCACTTCAAGATTTGTTCGGCAATTGGTTTACTTTATGTACATATTGCTCATGCAAACATGAGAAGGTTACATACAGATAGACAGACATGCAAACACACACACACACACACACACACACACACACACACACACACACTCAAACACCTTTTGATGGTAAAAGACGTCTTTGATTTGGTCCCAACTGCTATACCCAGAACTCTGTATGTTTTCCTGAACGCAGGAAAATCATAAAAAGTCCAGGTTCCTAAATTACTGTCACTCAAAGAGTTCCTTTCTCCTTCTCTCTCTCTCTCTCTGTCTCTCCCCGTCTCCATTCACCTCTCCTCCCGCCAGCACCGCAGTCTCCGACCCTTTCCTGCTTCCACCAGCAGCAATGGGGGCTTTCTCTTGTTTCCTGGTGCTGGCGCTGCTGGATAAACACACAACCTCCCCCTCATATAAAGGCTCAATTCTTCTCCATCATGTTTAAATATGGATACAAAGAGAAACTTGTATGATAATTTTTGGCATATGGTGGCGGGGGTCAGTGGGTGGGGTGTGTGTGTGTGTGTGTGTATGGGAGGGGGGCAGGTTGGTACAGGCTAGACAGAGTTCTGCCTTGTTCTGATACTTGTCTAAGATTTCGAGGTTTTTGTTTTATCCAAGACCAGACCAATGCCATCTGACAGAGTGAGTGACTGAGCAGCCGTTTGTGTTTGAGTGTGTCTGAAAATGTGAACTTTAACAAACGGTTGGCTCCTTCCAGTCGTATGTGCTGATATGATAAGTGCTGGCAGGGTATGCTGCAGCATAAAGCAGCACTGTTATGGAATTTGGGTGGCATGTGGAAACACACTGGGAAGCCGGAGATTAAACAAAGACTTAATTGCAAAACTCAAGGGAAGAGATTCGCTTCCCCACTCTGATGGTGGGCTGTCCGATCACACAGCTCAGGGACCATCTTTCATCTTTGATTTTGCGATGGAGTAATGGAAATGGAGACAGAATCTGGCTCCTGGGTTGGAACATGCCAGAGATGACACAGATACCCTGGATGATACTGATGGCCTGCTGATAGCCCCGTAGATCACCTTACTGCCCCTGTGCCAACAGCAGTGCAGCGAGTTAAGTACAGCCCCCTAAGGAGAGTGATGTTACCCTCCGTGGATGCTTCAGAGGCCACCACAGCTTCTAGTAATACAAGCAAAGTAGCTGCTTAGTAGCTTTAAAAATATACAAGAAACCTCTTGTTCCTTCAAGGTATTAGTGGGATCGGTTTATGATAAGGCATACTTTATAAAGTATGTATACGTTATAAGTGGCAGTCTACTTTATTAATAAATATTAATAGATTAGTGGTTATAGCCATTAAATAGCCAGGTTGTGAAAAAAAAATCTAGCATCTTTTGCCACAAGTTTAAATAATCTGGATGATATTATAAAACAAGAAACTGACTTTACTTACATTTATAACTGCAGTCTTTTTGGCTTATTAGAAAGTGAGTAAATCATTTAAAGGTCATTTTACACTTGAAGCCATAAAGGCCTGCAGTTGTAAAATAAAAATTATACAAAATTCTTCAAAATGCACAGTTTTTCTTTAGTGCATTGCTATTTTATCATCACAAAAAAGCCATATCTACAGACATAAACACACAGCATTTGCAATATAGTAAAACTGTATTGTACCTCATGAGGTGCGAGTTGGTGCACAGGACTGAGCTTACAACAGATCTATCCTCATAATAACTGAACAAACCATCCGCTGATGAAGACCCTGAGATTCAGTTGGGTCATTTTGTTATTCAAGAAATGTTTTTTAAAGAAACAACACAAATTAAATTAGGTACAAAAAATAAACACATAACCAAAATAGCACATACTACACAAAAAAAGCACAATACCCTCTCCGTCCCGTTAGCGCAGCACCAGTCCTTTAAGGAGTCTATTCAAATCTACGACTCAAACCTGGACACAAAAGAAAAGTCCATGTGGCACCAACCAAAGCAAAAACAAGAGCCCACTCATTCCACTTGTATTAACACATTCAAATATTCATAATATTAATTAAACATGAGTCATACATTTAAAATTCAAATAAATTCTTTAGAAGTACACTGTCAAAAAAATACATAAAAGACTAAAAACTGATTCAAGACGAGCAAATAATGATCATTTACAGTTCTGCAGGTCGGCTATCATTAATCTTTAATTCACTAGCTTAACCCACTCTATATATTCAGTTCTAACTAACCCAGCAGCTGAAATAAAGCCTGTTAGTGCAGAGCAGATGCAGGCCTGGGTTAACACTACTACTATACGCAGCCACTCCTGTATTGTTTTGATTATCTTGCTCCAGAAAGGCAGAACTAGAGGACATGCCCACATTGCAAGGATAAAAGCACCTTCATACCTTTAATATTTCCAGCACAAATTTTTCTAGTAGACCCATTTTATGAAGACGGACAGGTGTAAAATAATATCGATTAAGTGTGTAAGTTTCCCTTGACCTTCTCTTATAAATCAACCTGCACTAGAAATTATCTTTTCCCCTGATTGGGTTATTTTGGACTGACAAATGTGTATGAGCTGGACATAGTAATTGATGCATATCAGCACTGGAAATAAAAGTTAGAAGAAAGGCAGCAACCAAAACCATCAGATAGTAGCTCGCTCCAGGATTCCTTTCTGGTGCGATTCTGGTGATAAAACAGGATCAGCTGGGATTTAAGCTGGGTTGGGAGTGTGCCACTGGGAGTAGGTGGAGTGTGGAGATGGTTGGGAAAGATGGGAGGATGTGGATTTTCCATGACAGATAAAATGACAGCAGTGCATGGCAAAAAGGTGGAGAGATTACACAATCCCCTTTGTGTATAGGGACTTTGTTATTCATTGCAGGAACGCCGTGTGCACTGCAGACCATTGTGTTGGAGCGACAATGAATTATGTGCACATGGAACTAAATATCTCAGTAAATTCTGGCTGTTTTTGCAGTAGTGTGAGGGACACCTATAATGATTGGCAGCCGTGCTCAGAGGTAATAAAGCAGTTCATTCTTCTGTCTGTCAGAACATAGAGCGCACATTCACCAGCCGCCAACAGACACAGCCTACTCTGGTTTGCTGAAGAGGACGTATAAAAGTTCTGTTTCTTTTGTAATCGTCCCAAAAGCTTATTTGATATTTTAATCCAATCGCACCTTACCCCAGACTCCCAAAAATGAAAACTCCAAAGATCCGGAAAAACAACACATTAAGTTTACATTTGGCTAAACCCTTTCCATTTTGACTTATTCCAATGAAATGAATGAATGTTTGTATTTTTGTGGAATAAGTAAAAAAAAAAAAGTCCACATCAAATGACATAATTACTCATGCCAGCCTCAAGGTGGAATTATTGACAATCACAGTTGGATCCCTGTACTAGATTTCCAACCAGATAAAAGTGCAGAGACTCTTTATTCGACGGAGCAGGCGTTTCCGTCCATTTACTGAGCCCGGGCTGTTGATTTTTACACAAAGTATAAAAACTTGCTAACTTCCAGTGACCTTGCTTCATTAATCCTTCACCAACCACGACTCCAAACCCTCCCATGGTCATCACAGAAGAAGGAGATGCATGAGACAGAGTAGCAGAAATACCAGAGGTGTCTTTATCAGCGGTGGCTTGTCTGAGCAGTGAGTCTTTTGTAGCATTTTGAATTCACTCACAATTAGGCTGTGCTACACGGAGAAAGGCCTCTGCTGTATATCTGTGTGTGTGTGT